GTCGTTGGTGAGGATTACAAATATGAATTTAAATAAAAATGAATATTAAATCTATTGTATACCATAATATATTATTGGGTCTAGTAGAATAATTCTGTACATTTCTACACCTGTTTATTTATTTTGTTTTTAGACACTTGATTTGCGTTTTACTCCAGTAAGTGATCATGAACTTGTTTGCTTTCAAAGATTAACAACTTTGAAAAATGTCCTTTTGGAAAGTCCTGATTATATGAACCATGATAGTGACGCAACAATTACTGATTTGGGTTTGGCAGGATTCTGTACTGCTACCTTTGAATTCCAATATCCATACATTCAAATTTTAATCGATAGACGTGGTGGAGTAAACCTAAGAAGAGTTCACGAAAGGTAACTTAAATTAATAATAAATCATTATATTATAAACATTTGATCACACAAAAGCTAATTATTTTTTTATTGTAAGTTTATGTATTTCTTTATAATATTTGCTATTTATTATGAAAATCAAATTTTGCATAACATAACATATTATAATAGTATTTTATTTTAATAATTAAATAATAGTGGTATTTTACTGTTACAAAAATTTTTTAATGTTAGTAGCTTAACATTAAAAAATGTATTTATTTATTAGGTAATTTTACGCTGAAATAGTAAATATTATATCTGAAAAAATGGATTTGATTTTATCTGTGAAAATTTCAATATTTAAAATAATTAAGTTTTAAATTAAGTTTATTACTGTTGAATGCAATTCAATATTAGKTTTTTTTTTATCTTTTATGCTACATTTATTTTTAAATAGGAATGATAATGTTGATAGATGCAGTATTGAAACTTTATATGTCCGGAATTATCCAAAAGTAACTGATGCATTTTTGAAGACTGCCGTCAGAACTTGTCCATTCCTGAAATCATTAGACGTCACTGGCTCACGTTGTACTCCAGCAGAAATTGAATATTATAGAGCAAACAGGCCTAGTACAAAAGTAATATGCTAAAAAGACTGAGAAATATGTTGACATATAGGGGTAAGATATTGTTTTGTGAGAACATGTAGAGAGGTGAAAATACAGTGAGAAATGTTCAATCCTTATATATCTTGTGTTATATATAACTCTTATAACTAATTCTACAGTGTATTGATATTAATAAACAAGTTTAAATTAAATTTTTTGATGTTTTTAAATTAATTGATTCTTTCTATTTGTCATCATATTACTTATGACTTGCAAAAAGATATTTAATTTAAATATAAAGTTTAGAAAAATAAATGTCTATGTTTAAAATATATGCTACATAACTAATAGTAATTTTAATTTATATAGGTTTGGTATAAATTATTTCACATACCTAATCTTTTTATAAATTAATCTTTTCATATTTTAGTATAAGGTAATAATGAATAAATTCTTTAATATTCTATATTTAATCATGAATATTTAATTTTATTATACACTAAATATCATTGATTTAAAAACATCAAAATATTAATCTTAGTACATAAATTATAATTTTAAACACTAATTATTATATATAAAAATTGTACATATTATATATCTATAAAAATAAGAAAAGTGGATACCATAATAAGTTTTAAAAAGTTTAGCGATTTGTACCTAATTTAGATAAGTTTAAATTTTGTTTTTTGTGGGTACCTATTTACTAGGTCCTATTACTCCATATTTTTGTGTCTGAAGACATTAAGCAGTTACAGTAATTTTGTGTTAGTATGTTCATCATCTGTTAGCGAGGTGTGGAAATTAGTTTCTTTTTATT